AAAATAAATTCTTATAATTTGTTAAAAATTATTATTTTCGGTGTTTTTTTAGGACAATAAAAAAAGCTCCCTATAGTTTTACAAAAAAAAATTAACTTTTTAGTCTTTGTATGTTTATCACATTCGAATTATTTTTCTATCCCTGTTCCATTATTTTAGAGGTAGTTTGAAGTATTTAGTTTTTATCATAGAAAGGAAGTTACAGTAGAAGCGTTGTTACTACTAATAAAATAATTAAAATCTTCGTCTTGATCTTCGGTTTACACCAATCTGTTGTTCTTGCCCCCCAGTGGCACAGCGGTATGTCTGCGGACTTACAACGCTAGGATTCGGGTTTAGATACCCGTGGTGGGCATAGCACAGATAGCCCATTGTGTGGCTTTGTGCTTAATTACAAACAAACAAACTGTTGTTCTTCTGACAAAGTAGCAATGATGTCGCACTCTGACGAGGTCTGGACTGTAGTAATATCTTTTATCAACAGATGGCGAAACTTTGATATAAACACAAAGTGCGCAGAAAGCCTTTGTTCAGTTTTGTGAAAAAAATGTCAGACAAATCAACGTATTCGATAAAACAAACCCTCGTTGCTAGCGATATTTTTCTGTCTTGATTACTTTACCTTATTTCTTGTAGAAGCTAAGAACGGATAGAACATAAGTTTCAGAAAGGCGTAATAAATGCATTTTATTTTTTCATTCTTACGGTATATATATATATATAAAACGGCCCCCACTGGCTTAGCGGCAGGTTGGCAGGCTTACAAAGCTAAGAATCGGATTTCGATACCCGTGGTTGGCAGAGCACGAAAATAGTCCATTGTGTAGTTTTGCGCTCAACAACAACCAAACAAGTGTATATATAATACAGAGCGCCTGAAATAGTTTAATGGAGGTTTTTTTTTCTTTTTTAAATCACTTCCATCAATGTTTTTCTTAATCTAAAGCCAGTGTTTATGGCACTTGTTCCAACTATCCTAACTAAATTCAGAATTAAAGGATCTTTATAGGAATCGATAACTGATATTTCTATAGGAAAGATAAACCACTGATTTGTTATATAACGTGTTCCATGGATGCATTATAAGGGTGACAGTCAAATACAACTATTCAGACAGACACAAGTAGGCCAAGAGTTGGCAGTAGGTGCTGTTGACTATCAGTCTTCCCTCCTATCTGTCCCTCAGTGAGTCAGAGGTAAGCTTATGGACTTAAAACACTAATATCCAGGGTTCGATTCCCCGCAGTGGAAAGTTCTAAAAATAGCCAATTGTGTAGCTTTTCGCTTAAAATGAAACAAACAAAAAATCCTCTAGTCTATTAGGAGTGACTAGCGTGAATAGCCATTACCTAGCTTTGCGCAAATAACCGAAACAAACAAAATCTTTCTTAAGCCGGATGAAATATAGTGGTTAGAATCACGAATTGAAAGTTCGAGCCGCAAAATGCGTAATTTTGCTTTTAAGCTATGTGATCTATTGTAATTATGGAACAAAAATTTATACTTTAAGCGTTTTGAATCATTCCACAGGATCTTTAAAACATAGCTTAAAAGTGGTCGTCTAGGGAGTTCAAACCAAATTGAATTTTCTATGTC